TCCTTTAGCCTATTGACCAAAAGTCTTCCAATTAATGTAACAGCCTGCATGAAAATTAACAGTTACATTAAAATTTTACTATAACTTGATCTATTTTAGCTAGCACACTTGCTCATCGAATTACTGATCCACTGTCTAGGACCTAGACACTTGCATTCATATCTTGTCAGATAATATTGCTTAATCTCCATAATTTTCCTATTAGAGAAAATAAAATTATATCAACCAATCGATTATGAACATATCAACTAGTTGAATATCATACTCATGTCTTTCATTTGGTAGAATAGACTTTATGCAGTATTGATAGACTTCTTTCTCTATACATTGTCCTCTTTCTTCATGTCCTCTTTTTGCCTTCTCTCTATCATCCAAAAAGGGTGAATGAATAGTACTGACTATTTGTCATCGTGACCTTCTTAGAGTCATTTCATCCTTAAAATCTTATTTTCTAATTTGCTTTTCAGCTTCTTCTTGTGCACTTGATTCTCCCTCCTCTTCATTTTCATCACCTTTTACTTGTCCTTCCTCTTCTTCCTTTTCATCTTCTCTGTATCCCCTTTCCTCTTTATTTTCATCTCCTTCTGCTTGTCCTTCCTTTTCTTCCTTTTCATCTTCTCTGGATACCCCTTTGTCTTCCTTTTCACCTTCCCTAGATCCCCCTCCATCTTCCTTTTCATCTCCTATCGATTCTCGTTCCTCTTCTTTGTCTTTATGTTCCTCCTCTTCCTCCTCTTCCTCTTCACCATCATAGTTTTGAACAACTTCCTCGCCTTTTCTTCTACCTTAGAGTTTGAGGAGTCTTTGTGCAATTCCACATGTAAAGTTCACAACATCTCTGTATACCTCTTTTATGTCCTACACCATATAAAATATCATATGTTTAAAATTACATAAAACATAACTTTGCTAATTAATAACTATCATTTTGCCCTTATCGAATCATAAAATGAATTCATTTCTGGAAGCTCTATTGAGAAGCTATCATGTCCTCGAGACGGGTAATATAAAATGCCATGATCACTTGCCTCCTCAAGTTAAACTCGTGCTATCACTCTCTCCTCTATCTAATGTTCCAGAGCATCTTCTTGCAATGGCACCTTAATTGGCTCCAATGGAAACATTTGAAAGTAGAAAATTTGCATATTTACATCTATGTCATATAATCCACAGAATTTTGTTTAAAATAATTAACTTATAACAAATTATATCTTAATTTATCCACATACCACAAGAAGAAATAAGCATCCTTTAATAGTTTTTTTGTGCCCATCCTTCTTCTCCTATGCTTTATATTTGGCTACCTCCTTTCAAACTCAGATAGTATAAAGAATGACTAATCATAACATACAGTTCCCAAATTTAATTCGGACATGACCTTTAATAGTTTATCACTTATATTGGGACTCGAACTTGGACAAATAAAATTCCCTAAGCAATAGAGAATGAAGAGAAACTTAAATCTATCATTTTCTTTCCCCGAGAGTATACTATCCTTTATTACATTATAGGATACTCTTTTAAAGTCCTTGTTTAAGGACTTTAACTTCTTTTTAACCCCATTCATATCAACCATCTCCCCATCATTGATGACTTTCCTTTGACCTCTAATGAAAAGGGATGATATAGGGGATCAAATGCCTTTACCACTTCATCTCATAAATCTCTAGGCAACTTGTGACATTTAATATTTAAAAGCTTACCAAAACCTATTATATTAACCCTATCCATCAAGGATTTTTGCTTTTTGATATAATCAAGAACTTCCTTCATCTTTGTTGGAGAACACCTTGTCTCAAATGGAATCTGTCCAAGAAAAATAAGTCAGCACTATTACTTGAATTCATCACATTTTTTGTGCTTGAAGTCAAAAATTACATACCTCATAAGCTTTGACACCAACATTTTCCTCCTTAACTAGATGTTTATAGTGATTTTGTTTTTCTGACGATAACTTTTTTCATGTTGCAATTGTTTATGCGTTGAGTTTCTTCAAATCATTTCCTTAGGTTGCATACTAGCCACGATATGCCTCTTTAAACTTGCTTAAGCCAAAACAACTTTTTTGCCTTAAAGAATTTCCTTTTGCTTTAGCCATTGTCCTGCGCACAATGAATGAGAGTAAAAAAAACTACTATTGAATATATCTAACATCACTAATGAATACACATAATAGACTATTAAATTTACCAAACATCAAATCTAAATTTTCTCCATAGAACAGGGGAGGGCCAAGGAAAGTCACAGCCACAGCCTCCCTAACCTTTTTTTTAATCCCCTTTATGAGATGAAGGAGTTATATATTTTGGGCAAGTAAGGATGGGATCTTAAACACCTAATCAACTAAGCACACCTATTAAAAAGCTGTGTAGGGATGGGATCTTAAACACCCATTTCCACAAAAAGCAATGTCTTTTCAGTCTTTGTAATACAATATAATGAACTGGAAATTAACTTAGGCTTTCCCACAAACTTTTCCAATTCTAGAAAAGGTCACATCACAAAAAAAGAAAGGAAAGAAATGAAGGAGGGACAGGGACAAGCTCAATGGGCTGTGTCTTTATGGGTCTCACCTCCCTTTCTTCTAACTCCCTCTAATATAATCATTTCTTTGTAAACTTAATCAGGCATATTTAAAATACCACTATTAAGGGAGAATTTGCAAAGCCAAATGATAATGAAGAATGACTTATGATTACAACACTAATGCCAATCCAATGAAAACTCCTCTACCCATATAAGCACTTCATTCCTCTTTAATGACATAAACCATAAAACAAACAATGCTATTGTTAGTACTTGAGATTGCAAAAACCAAAGGTCTTGTGCCAATTATCACAAGATAAGCAATTAAGCCATTAATCATACACCATTGACATTTTAAAAGCATTTGGCAGAAGAGTTAAAGCAAAAAGGACTTTCAAGCTGAGGCTGATTTACATAACAAGTCTCACTGTGATATCATACTAAACATTGGATTAGTTAGAAGGAGAGGGCACAAATAATTTTAGTAGACAAAATGAATTTTCACCAAACTTGGATCCTCTACAGTGTTTTGTAATACCGTAAGGGAGAGTAATATTCAAAAAAGGGAGAATATAAAGCTCATTTCATTTATTTGCATGCATCCCAGTTTGTAGTGGTTTGTAATAGCGTAGGGGAGAGTAATATTAAAAAATGGACTCGTTATCCTCTAGTATTAAAACAATATTACAAATTTATAGCAAAATAATGGGAATCAAGTGGAGCAATAAAGCTGGCCAGGTGATTGCCAGTAGCTGAGCTCAGCCAGCAAAAGAACATAGGGATAGGAAGAGAGAGAGAGAGAGAGGCACCAACCAAGGAAGAAGATAAGAGATAGGAACACAGAGGATGCACTATGAACTAGACACACACCAAGCTGAGAACATGACAGAAATAGGAAACACTGGAGGACCTCTTACTGGCGACTGCACAACCCTCAAGCTAATATGGAGAACCCGATGAATGATAATGACTATGGACAAACCACGATGAGAAGCGACAGCTGAGGGAGACGCTGAAACAAAGCACAAATAGGGCTCTGTGTGGGCGGGCATATTTCTTTTTTTTCCTCTCAGGGGCATTTTTGACAATTGACATTATTTTTTATCCTAATTAAGGATCATGTTCTTGAATTAGGATTTCTATATTTTAGGGTCCCTAATTGGGATTAATGTCCTTAGAGGGTTCTTAATTATCATTTTCCTAAAAAACAAAGTGAAATACTAGAGAGATTAGAACCAATCTTCTAGTCCCATTAGACCAATTTGGTCTTGTTTTGCTTCAGGTTATACCAAGACTAGATCAGACCATGGGTTGTCTAACCTAATCTAGACCTCAGGTTAGGCCAAAGTTATAGTTGGTCCGCCCTTTGTGTAGCCCTATTGCCAACTGTCTTTATGTCTACATCTTGTTCTTCTTCACCTTCTTGTGACCTACCATCACCCTTTGCAATTGAAGAGGTTTGACTTTGTCGCCTGGTTTTATTTTCTAGTTTTCTCTATATGCATTTCGCAATTAGATTGAACCATGATTTTGATTACATGAAGTACATCTTATATAAAACTTTTCTTTAACAAGCCTCCTCAAATGTTTATCATAAATTTGAAAGGGTGCAAGGTTGTCTTCTTGCTTGCTCGCTTGTTCTTGCTAGTTTCTTCATGCATAAGTGAGAGTTGGAAGTGAATTTGCAATCTAATAGGACTGCGAACACCATATTCTATTCATACATTTAACAGGAATAAATAAAAATACAAAAATATTTGTTTGGTCCTTTAATAACCTTTATTTTTAAATGTCATTGTTTTCATTTTTTTATACAAAAAATCAAAAAATATAAAATTAAAATTTAATTATTTTTTTACAAGTTAATTTTCAAAAAGAAATAGTAATACTTTTTAAGAATTATATTTTGAAAAAATGTATAATAAATAAAAAATAAATTTTGATCCTTTTTAAGGATTATTTTCAAAAAAAGATAATAAAGGAGATAAATAAAGTAATCTCTATTTAAAATTAATTTTGAAAAGGGATGAGAAAATCTTGATTAAATCTTTTGAAAATCTCCCAAATTATCTCAAAAATCTGAAAATCATAGGAATTAACTTAAATTCCTATAAATCTGATTATTTCTCTTAAAAAATATTTTCAATTCAAAAAAAAATTCTTTCTCTAATATAATTTTCAAAATAATTCATAAATAATACTCTCTCCATTCAAATATATAAAACATTTTTAATCGAATCTCACCCCTAATAAAGTAATTACTTTCTTTTAAGCTAACTCTATTTTTTTATATTTATAATTAATATTATATAATAAATATGAAATTATTTATTAATAAAAATATTTAAAAAAAAGACAATGATTATATTTTAAAAGATTAAAAAATTTATATTTTAAATATTTATTTTTTCAAAAAATGCTTTCTCAGGCAGGAGAAGCACTTAAAAGCTGGGGGGAAAAAAGAAACTGTAAGAAGCAGAGAAATCTGCCCTTAGATTTTCCTCAGCGCGAAAAATAGCCGCTGGCACGCGGAGAGAGATGAGTCGCACGCAGGAGAGGGGAGCAGGTGCGGCAAGCAGGTGAAACTTGATGAAGTCCAGCAAAGTCAGGCAAATAGAGCAATAAAGAAGCCTCCTGTAGCCGGCGATTCAGGAAGAAAAATAAAAAGGAAGGCAGTGATGCGGAAGCGTGTAAGATTGGGGAAACGAAGGGCGGTGAGTCATGATGATTTTCGAATATCCAACCCCCTTCTGCCTATATAAGAACAACAAAGCATTTTGATGGGGGTTCTGAACGGTGAGAACTCAAGACAGATTCAGGGAGAGTTGAAGAGAGGTCAAGTTTGAAGAGAGACCCGAGTTTGGAGAGGGAAAGAGATCTGAGTTCGAAAGAGAGAACAAAGAATAAGAGTAGAGGATGTTGCGCGATTGAGGCATTAGGAGGGAGAGGCGATTAGACATTGAGGGCTAGAGGAGAGCGATTCGACATTTACAGAAGCAGAGCACGCAGCTGAAGAGGTAGACCGGATATTCAAAGGAGAGAGGACTGATTGAAGGCGCACATCTCTGTTAAAAGGTTTGAAGCTAATTTTGGGTTTAATTTAATATTAGATTTTGATTTCTAGATAGCTTCCATATTCTACTTCTAGATTTTGGATAAGTTTTAGGACGTACGAAACTGAACCATAGACATATAGTTTAACTGAAAAAAAATTGCTCTCTTCGCCCATGAGGTTGATGGCTGTCTTAGCGAAGGTTCAGATAGTACATTCTGCTAGTAGGTTTTGTTAATGCTGTGACGGATTTTGTATATATGCCTATATGTTGTTGTAACGGGCTGCTCACTGGGTTTATTTTGTACATGAAGAGTGTTTGTTTTGCCTTGGTGATTTATGCATGTTTAAAGCTTTTTATATGCTTGGAGATATATTGGCAATATATTGCCTCTTTTGTTAAAGTTTCCTTTCTCAAAAAAATTCTGATTATTGTTTGCATTATGACGGTGTCCAAAATAAGGTCTTCAAAAATAAGAACATGTTCTCTGCTTTTGAACTTTCAGATAAAGGTCATGGTTTGAATCATTTTTTTTTTCCTTTTCTTTCTAAGCTTCTATGTGGTTGACATAAGTTGGTATGGGTCACTAACTTTTTACCTATAAAATCCTGCATGATCTTGTGCCCTTTAGTGGTCAAAGGGATAGTTCTATCAAATTTTAGGCTTCTAGGCACTTGAGAATCAAACACTGGGGTTGCATCCTAAGGCCGCATCTTTTGCTTACTTGTGAAGGGTGTTTGTATAAATATAATTGGCATCTCTTGTTGATTGAGACACCACACGCACATGGGTATATATCAAACTTATTTTAATTATTAGGGTATTTGTGCAGTCTTATTCTTTTCCTTGAAACATCTTTTTTGTAAGATGTTGTTGTTCTTATTCTTTTCCTTTTGTGGGTGTCTTTGTATTTGTGCAAAAGTAATTTGAGGGAAGGTTATCATCTTAGAAATATGTTTGCAAGTTGTGTTATGTTTGAACTTTTTAATAGTTTTATGCTGTTTATTATTAGTGTTGCATATGATTTATACTGAAATAGCCGTGGTGGAAGTGCAGATTTTGCTCTGCTATTGATTTTCTTTTTAAACAAGCAAAAAAAGATGTGTGAAGCCAACAAAAAAGAGAGTTGAGATAGATATGATCTCTATGCAAGTGGTGTCTTCCTCAAGATTAGTTCGGGAGGCTGATGCAGTGACCTAGCTGTTCCAAAGTGCACCTTGGCTTCTTCTCCAACTCTGTCTATGGTTCCTGTTTGATCCTCAACAAGTGAAATCGGAGAAGCTGGTTCCTTTGCTTCTTCTTTCTTCCTTCTTCGATTGATAACTGTGAATTCCCAACTTCAATGCTCAGAAACATGATGCTAATACCCCTGAAAGATGTGACCAGATCACGAACTCTTCTCTCCTCAATCCTCACACTCTGTCACCCTTTATCTGCTTCCATTACTACTTCTCTTTGTTGTACTTGCTCTTATTCTTCTCCTTTTTCTGGTTTTGAGAGTCCATGCAATTTTGGACCATTCTACAATAATATCAAGAATCGACCAGTGGACATTGCGGGTTCCTTCAAGAATTGGTTCAAGAGCGGGAACAATGAGGTACTGGCTAGAATCTATGAAATCCTGAATGCTCGGGGTAATGAAGAAGACAGTGGTGATTTAACACTTCATGCCACTGACTTGGCTCTTAAACAGTTGGGTCTTCCACTGACGGAAAGCTTTGTCTTGGAGGTTCTTGCCTATGGTAGGGACGTTTTGTCTTGCCTCAAGTTCTTTGATTGGGCTGGACGTCAACCTGGGTTCTTCCATACCCGTGCCACCTATACTGCCATTTTTAAGATTCTCTCGAAGGCTAAGCTCATGTCAGTGATGTTTGAATTCCTTGAGACGCATGAGAAGCAAAGGCTCCATCAGAGAGCAAGATTTTATGATACTTTGATTATAGGTTATGCAGTTGCTCGAAAGCCAGATAGAGCCCTTAATCTATTTGGTAGAATGCGGTTCCAAGGACTGGACCTGAATAGTTTTGGATATCACGTCTTGTTGAACTCCTTAGCAGAGAATAATTCTTATGGTGGGTTTGAAACTATTTTGGAAGAGATTCGATTGCGAGGTCACGAGAATCAGATTACACATTCCTTAGTAATGAAATACTACTGTCTGCGGATGCGGTTATATGAGGCAGAAGAATATCTTAATTCACTGATGCATAGTGGGAAAGTTTTGCTTGGGCCTGAGGTGAGGGTTCTTCTTGGTACACTGTATGAGAATAATATGTTTGAACGGGCTGAAAAATTGATTCAGGAATTTGGGAACTCAGGTTTGGTTTCGAATGAGACTGCTATTGGTGAGTGGATATGTCATCTTGTTCGGGCTGGAAGATTGGATGAGGCTTTGGCATTTTTCCAAGATAAGCAATCTTCAGAGGGTTATATTCCTGGCTTGTTCCAATATAACATTTTAATAAGCAGGCTCTTGAAGAAGAACCAACTCCATGATGTGTATGATTTGTTAATGGAAATGAAGGACAATCACATTACCCCGGATATGATTACCATGAATATTGTTTTGTGCTTCTTTTGTAAAGCAGGAATGGTAGATGTTGCACTTGAATTGTACAATTCAAGATGTCAGTTTGGACTCTCTCCAAGTCTATGGGCTTACAACCGTTTGATTTGTGCCTTATGTGGGGCTGGGAGTGTTGACGAAGCATATGGTATTTTCAAAAAATTAGTTGATGAAGGTTATTTTCTTAATAGAAAAACCTTTTATGTAGTTGCCAATGCATTATTTAGAGAGTCTAAGGTTGATGAGATGGAGGAGTTGCTAATTCTTGCCTTGGAGAGGAATTTTTTGCCTAGTGCTTCTACATATAACAAGTTGATATCGGCTCTATGCCAGGTAGGCCGTTTACAAGATGGCTATTTAATACATGGACAAATGAACAACATAGCTACTCAAAAGGCTTACATTAGATTGATTACCGGTTTCTCTAAGTCAAATAGGGGAGATATTGCTGCTCGGCTTCTTGTTGAAATGCGACAGAAGGGTTTTGTCCCATCAGATGCAGTATATACAGTTGTTCTCCGTTCTTTACTTAAAGGGGATAATCCAAACACTTATTTTCTTAGTTTATTAGAAACATTGGCTGGTTGTGGAAAGCTAAAAGAGATTTGTAGACTTTTTAGTGATGAAGCTGCTGTGGCCAAGAAGCCTGAGCTGGTCATGGAAGTACTAAAGCTTAAGCAAAGATATGGCATTAGTCTGAATTTGGATTCTTACATGCTTATGTTGCGGACTTATTTAAGAAGTGATAGAATGTTGGACGCTTTAAATTTGTTTAATGATTTGAGGAGACATGGTGTCCAGAATAGAAGATTATATAATAACCTTATTATTGGTCTCTGCAGGTTCAAGAGAACAGACATGGCACTTAAGTTATTGTCAGAAATGATGATTGATAAATTGACTCCAAGTGTTGGTTGCTATGAAAATCTTGTTCAGAGTCTTTGCCGGGAGAAAAGATATTCTGAAGCTATAAATCTTGTTAATGACTATGAGAAAATGGGACGTTGCTTAACCTCTTCTATGGGTAATGAACTTCTACGGCATTCTTTGCGAGCACCAGAAATCTATGATATTTGTGTTCGTTTGAGAGGAGTCAGAGAGGAGGAGTTTTCTGGCAGCTCAATGCTTAGCCTCATAATTGGTGTATTTTCTGGTCGTCTTAGAGTAAACCTCCATTCAGAGAACTTGGAAGAACTGATAGAGAAGTGCTTTCCACTTGACAGATACACCTACAATCTGTTGTTGCAAAGAGCTAGCTGGAGTGAGATTGACCATGTTTGTGAGTTGTTTGATCGGATGTGTCATAAGGGTCATTGTCCTAATCAGTTCACTTATAACATCATGTTACGTGCTTTCTTAAAGCATGGGAGGAAGGAAGAGGCTAAGCTGTGGTTTGAAGAAATGCTCAGAAATGGGTTTCGTCCGGCAATTGATACTAGAGTTTTTTTATTGTAAGGGGTATCAATTAGAGTGATTGATCAGTTCTTCTGTTAAAGATGCAAAATAATCCACACAACTTTGGTAAGGATGTCATGTATTCTTGAAACAAATTGATTACATTGGATGCAGCGGTCTTAATTTATGATTTATTCTGAGTCATCTAAAATCATGTGATGCATCTTTTAATTGCCCCTTTCCTTTGGAGACATTTGTTAGGAATGAAATTTGACTGCAACATGTAATCTCTCAAACTATTTTCCCTTCAAAACCATCCCAATACAATTGCACAGGCCAATTTCAAATGCAACCATCACTATGATTATAATCATGATCGGCTCAAGTTAGGTTGAATTGAACCAGATTGGTAGCATTCCTCTTCTACACATGATGACGACACATGTCATTTTCCTGGTATTATATTTAACGGTGAATGTTTATGATTGGCGTTCACAAACAATTAATTCTAGAAAATTGTTGCAAGCAAATGCTAACTTGGTTTTAAATTAACTTTGGACATGGAAGCTGTCTTCAATTTTCTCTCTCTATTAATATCCTTGTGGAGAATCAATTTGCTTTGCACACTGCTTGACCATGAATACTTTATCGATTTATTTTTTTTTATGTTTCCAAATTATGAATATAAATGTTAATTTTATTTTATTTTATATATTTGATTGATGGTGATCGCAGTATTTCTGCAAATGAGTATCCCTTATAAAAGAGTGGCATAAGGATTTACTCTTCAATTCTCTCTCTCTCTCTCTCTCTCTCTCTCTCCATAGCTTTTTTTCCCGCCGGTAAACTGCTGCTCTTTGTGAATGCATCTCTGGCCTCATTTATTTGATGGTTTTAAATTATGATCCACTGCTGTATTTTTTCTGTGCTGATGAGTGTGGATGGAAATCTTTTGGTTTGCCCATTTCAAGAAAGGTTCCGATATAAAGAGTTCAGAAATCTTTAGAAACAATTAAAGGCATTCTCTTGTTTTGATTGTTTCTTTATTTTCATGGAAATTTCTATGAAGTTATTAAGAATTTTAGCTGTTATCCACCAACAGAGGTTGTGTGCAATCTGATGTTTAGATCAAACGCTCGAAATATAGTTGTTGCTTCCTTTGCCTATGGAATTGAAAGGTAGATCAGGTAACACTAGGTTTGGATATGGCTCAATTTGCCCTAGGTGTTTTTTTTTTGTTTTTTATAATAATTGAAATTGACGGAGATGGAGTTCCAATTTTTGCAAACAAGATTTCAAAAATGTAAAAAGATGCAGACTGAAGTCAACTAGTTATCTGAGACATGTTATGCAGGAGGTAAAGTTTATTTCACAATGAGGGCGTGCCTGTATAATTTGAGCAGATATCTTGCTATTTTTCATTTGATACTGCGTATTTGTTCTCAACAGAAGCTAGTGAGTCCTGTTCATTGCACGGGGATTTAAAAATAAGCCGTACTGTTTATGATTAAATAGTACTTGTTGGAGTTTTTTATATCAACTCTACATATACCAATCTCATGGAAAAGCATTCTGATTGGTCAATTTGTTTTTCTATCATTGGTCCATTAACTTTGGCTTTAGTTTAATTCTCCCTCCTCATTGGTTGATATCTTTGGTGGGTGGCAAATTCTGAATTTTTATTGGTGGGTTTTATTATATTTATATCATTTTTCATTCGTTCCCTCTTCGTTTTTCAAATTTCAAATCAAAGTTTCCAATTTTCTTGCTAGCAATAACTTTCATTGTCATCTCCATTATGGCCATCATCCCATCCGATTCCCCATGCACTTTTCAGTTTCAAATTTTAAATTAATGGTCTTCAAGTAAGCATAGAAGACCCCACATTCTCGATCTCATGGAAGAATCTGGAGCGGAGAAAGTGCAGATGCCAACTCAACTAGTCCATCACTACCCCTTTCTTTCTTCCAGCCACTGTCGTCTACATTTATGGCATTGACAGGTGGGGAAGACAAGCCCTCTTCCTTTGACTTCTCACCAGACATCCTTCTCTTCATCGAATATTGAGCCTGGCCATAGATGCCTGCTCCATCCTCTTTTGATTAGCGGTTTTTGTTCTCCATTCTCATCGTTGCCACTGGGTTGGTAATGGGTGAGAGATTCCCATTATTGCATATTTATTTTCTATATTGGTTTTTTATATTCATAATTTTGACTTCATCTTCCATAATTTCTTTTCCATTACTTTTTTCCCCTGCTCATCTTGTCCTCCCTGCTCATCGTCATATCTCCATTGTTTTACAGTGCTGCTATTATTACTGCTTGCTTTGATGGAACTTGCAAGGTTTGTATATTCCACCCCTTCCCCAATCAAATTCGTTTCCTCTATTTGTCCGTGAATAGTCTCATTGGTTTAAATTTGAAAATTTTCATTAGCTTCTTGATGGCTGTTCTTCTGCTTGAGATTGCGGTTCGGGGTTGTACTATTTCTCCTGCCGTCTTGGATTCTCGGGTTCTAGGTGCATAAGATAGGCACGGATTAAATGAATTTGATTGGTTCTTTAATTTATCTCTGACTTTACGGCATAGTTGAAGCTGACCTCGAGGCATCTGTTGAGGTCAGTTTCTCATTTTTATTATGTTCAGGTCCTTATTTTTCTTCATCCTTTAATTGATCTAGAAACTCAAGGAAGGGTCAGTGTTGTGTGGTTCTTTTTTTTTTTTTTTTTTTTAATTCAGTGAGTTTGGTGGGCAAAACGATAAATGCAGCAATGTACATAGGTGGAAACTTTCAGGGAAATTCTTGCTCCAACTGATGGAAATTCTTTAAATGCAGTAATATAGTTCATTGTTAATTTATATATAGTGGTGTTGAAATTAATTTGATGATATTGGTTATATAATTGTCTTTTATCCACTATCTTTTCACTGTATAGGTTCTTAAAAGCAAGGAAATTTGGTATTGAAAAGGCAAAGTTGGAGGAAAGATTTTGGTGCCGACACCATTAGGGAGGTAAAAATAGATATTATGTGCAAAATATTTACTTGACTTCTGTCAATAAAAATTTAGGGGACAAGACTCTAACTTTCAGTGAATGATATTTTCTGCACCCTTCATGTTTAATATTTTGTTTTCTACACATTTCAAACATTAAAACATGTTCTCATAGATGAGAAAAACATGTTCATGATTTTCAACCATTTTGTTTTGGAGATCCTTAAAGTTAAGAGTTCCCATCTTCAGTGCTATCAATGGACCCTGTGACTGGAGCTGTTTCAGCGGGAAATACAATTAGTAAGCAAGCAATTCATTTCAGAAAAGGAGTACACCCTGTCTCAACAGTTCTACTTATATTGCAAGTTAAGATATCTGTTATAATTGTTTCAATGTGTTGCAGGTTAGGATTCATAGATTTCTGGGAAAGACTAGAGGGCACAAGGGTAAGAAGACAGTGGCTGTGCTGAGGATGGCCTTAACAATGATAAAGAAGAGATAAGGAAACGTGTAAATAGTTTGATCAGGAGGAAAAGAGAGAGGAATTTAGTCCTTGGGGGAGTGATACCCATGCAAAGGTTTGTGCCCATGTCTGCGTGTCATTAATCATTTTTTTTTTTTGGCTTTAAAACTGTAATTTAATTAGTGAACCTAATGAAATGTGCAGCTGGGATGTGGATTAATACAATTATTAATTATTGATTGAGATAGTGTGTTTACGTGCTCCAGTTGACCAGTCTGCTGATACTCCCACCTGATATTCGACCAACATTCGGGCATGGGATTAATTCCGTGAGCTTCATCAGGAAATCTAATAAATTGACTTTTGTAATTAACTTTCAAAATTTAAAATGTTGAAATGTCAACTAATTATATCAACAACTTTGTGCAAGACACGGGATTTAATTCTAGAAATTTAAAAGTGATTTTATCCTCTCAAAAAAAGAGAATGACATTGAAAATCTACAAGTGCATTAATTCCATATCTCAAAAATATATTTTAACCAATATTATTTTTCTGTAACGCGATTTAATAAGATTACATTAGTGATTACATTAATTAGTTAATCAATCTTTTGAATTATACATTTATAGGTCTCATCCAACCATTCAACTGACTCATCTAAAAACCATCCATTTTGTAAGTGAAAATAAGGAATAGACAATTATAATCTTCTTTTGAAATTAAATTTTTTTACATGTCGAGTGATCACTCAATTGTCTTAGATAAATTCCATGGGATTTAAGTCTAGTTAATTAATACTATACAATAGTTGTCATTATAAGAACATATCATGAACATACAAAGACTTGTATTTATTTGAAATGTACATTTTTTTATATGACTATATGAATGAGTTAAATTTGAGTATTGTCAGGTTCAATTGAGATAAGTTTTCTTAAAGTATTTTTTACATATGCACATATTCAAATTCAAGATCTCATGTTTAAGTGGTTGTAGCTCCTTCTAATAGAATCAATGCATGTTAGTTTGAAATACTTTAGACAATGGTGATGTTCACGTGGGTTGGATGTAGAGAGATCCGTTTTGGCATCATTCAAGCTTGTTGAAGCTTTAGAAAATTGGTATAGTGAGGGGTAAACCTTTGACCTCGTAAAGGTTTAAGGTAACTGGGAAAAACATAATCTTTATAGTTGAATGTTAATTGTATTTGTAAAATGTGATTTATGAGTTAAATTGACGATGCATATTGGCAAAGTACTTGATTTGTGAAACGGTTTTTAGGAAAGAAAACCTTAATTTTGTCACTGTTGATGTTTTGCAAAATTGATTATGATTTATTACTATGGGTGAAAAATTATAATATATTATGTGTTAAATTGTGGAGTATTGAATTATGTGAGTTCATGTGTTATGAATTGATTGTGAAAATGCATATTATGTGAAACATGTGCATAACATGATCATTGGCAAGAGTTCGCCTAGGGAAAGGAGTAAATTAGTTGAAATCCACGTGATATTGGCAGTGACCTTTGGAATCGGGAACTAGCCTTGGCACCGATCGTTGGAATTGGGAGGTAGCTCTTGTCCCATAATTGTTTTGTGACTGTCCTACTTGTTCTATAAGAAATTCGAACCTAACTAGTCTCCACCGGTTCATGAGGAGGCTAGATTATAGGTACGACACTCTATGGTTATTAGTATTGAGGGAAACTGGATTACATAAGTGAGTGAGTTAACTCTGACTTGGTAGCTCCTCACAAGTAGAAGGATGGGTTAGTCCGTGAAAGGATGTAGCCATGAAATAGCCACCGATTTTATGTCGGAGGTAACAGGAGGATATAAGGTTGGCATATGATCATACATATAAATCCAGCCGCATGGTTGTTAGTTTTGTAGTTTGGCATGTGTTGAGGGCGCATGGTTGTTATTTTTACGACCTTGGGTTATGTTTTTGTGAAATAACATGATATAGTGTTCTGTGGCAAGCTCGGTCACATGGTTATTAGTTTTATGAACCGTGGCCTAGTGTTATGTGATATATATGTTTGTTTTCCTGATTTCATCTATTTACAATTAATATGCAACTGTATGGGTTAAGTGAAACTTGGTTACTGAGTATAACCCTCAATTCTCAATATTTTCAGGAGCTAGCTCATCGAATCCGAGTCGGGGAAAACATAAGAGGCTTATGATTTGTGGAGTAATCCTCTATATGCCTCACTTTTTAGTTACATGTGTATTTATTAATGTAATTGCCAACTAGGATTAATTGACATGATTTATGCATTACTTCTATGATTTTGTGTATAACTAGTGTATTTTGTGCCTTGGGTTAGTGAGTTTTGGTAGTGAACCCGCAAATAGGGTCAAAATACTTGTACAAGTAGAAATATTTGTATTTTGAGAAATTTAGAATGAAATAATTGATTTTGTGCAACTTTTCCTCCTCCTTAATGTTTTGTGAAAATTGGGGTTAAGTGATGATTTTATGAGATAAGCATTTTTAATTGTGTGTGGTTTGTTGCATGAGTCTACAAGAATCCATTAAGTGTGATCGTATGGTTGGTGTAAGCTATTGACATGTGTGGTTGAGTTGGGACCACACATTTGTAAGATTTTGTGAAAAAGTAGTCAAAATGGGTTTTGGTGTCCAACTTTTTATAGAAAATGAGTTTGGGTGTGAAACCGATGCTATTAGCTCAAGCTAGGAAAGAGCTCCGTGTAGACGCTAAAACTACTTGAATTGGACGTTGGATGGAGATTTAGGATGCGTTGGAAGTTCGCTTCCTGTGTTGTTAAATGACAACACTGATATGTCAAATTTCGTGCAATGCACCACGGTGCATGGCGCCTCATGCCGCGGTGCATGGCACAAAGAAAACATATCATAGTGCACGTGTCATTTTCTATGCAAAATTTGTTTCTAAGTTTTAAAAATCATTTTTTAGATTCCAATTGATTTTCAAGCTTTCGCTTTGTTTTCAAAACTCTAATTTGGGCTTATTAAATCATGTTTAAGACTTGAATTATTAAGATTGGGATTCTTTTAAAAGAATTTCAAAAAATTCCTTTTATAAAACCTTACAACTTGGTAATCCTTTGAGGGTTAAACCCTAAATTACTATGATTTGGAGTTATTTATGGTTTAACCTTAGGAGGTTACATAAACTAAAGTCTGAATCACTCTTCCTTACGAAGATAGTAATATAACCTACTTAAATTCCTTACGTTTAACATGCTCTGTTATGATGAGGAAAAGCAGACACGAACAGAGTATATTCAACAACAAATAACTACTATCAAATACTCTCACTTAGAGTTGATCTATAATCAATAAAGCTTACTCATAATAAATATAAACTTAGAAGGGTGGTAAACAATAAATATGAATGGCTTGAGTTTGTTCATGTTCGATTGTATCTCCCACCATCTTCATAAATGCTTGTATTTATAGTTAGATTCTATAAGAAATCCGTTACACTCATGAATATAGCTGTTAGAGTCATCATCATCTTTCTTTTGAGTTGTTTAAGCAATCTCCGAACTAAGGCAATGAAATAGTACTTTTCGGTGAAGCTTTCTCTCTCACAGTAAGTAAGGAAAAATAATGGCTCTTTTCATTAAATGTTTTGACAAGGTAAGTGAGAGGCTCTTTTAGAAAACCAAAGCTATTTGGGAATAAGTATTTTCTAAATAAGATCGAACTAAGCTCAAATTAACTCAAGAATGTGTTTAGAATGAATCTAGATAAGTCATACAACATATATTACTCTCAGAAGAAGAAATTTAAAAGAATAGAGAGAGTTTCGAATAACCTCTGTTTTGGACGAGAGAAAAGAGCATCGTGAGTTAGGCATTTTTTGAAACAAGAGAGGCTTATTTTGAAATAGAGAAGAAAATGATACGAGAGGAAGACAAGGCTTATTTTGAAGTAAGACAATATATCAAAATAGAGTTACATAGGCATTGATTTGAAAATATTTGTTTAGAAATAAGGAGAGCTATTTCCAAATAAGATATTCCTAAATAAGAGACTTTAAAAAGATGCAATGTGAGACAGCTTTGCAGAATAGAACATCATTCTTGAATAAAGATATTTATTCCTAAATAAGCTATTTTTGAATAGACAAGAGAGTTGATACTTGGGAATAAAGAAATTCACTCAGGAATAAGCTATTCCATAATAAGGACCATTATACTAAAAAAAGACAAAGGCTCTCAAATTTTGGATATTTGATTATAAGTTCACTTGAGACACCTTTCAAATAATACAAAAGGTACTTAAGGAATTAAGATCAAGTCAAATACTTAATCTTTAAAGAGAAACATAATATGAATAGATACAGAAAAAACTTACATGTTTCTTGGCTATTTGAGAATAAGACACATATTTGGGAATAAAGAAATATAAAGGAATAAGGCACGAGAGTTACAAACTCAAATCAAAGATAACTAATTCCCTTATAATCCATCATTTCTTAATTATTAAACCTGTAAAACACAAAATTATCTTATTTTGTAATCATCAAAACTAAGGTTTAACACTCTGTACCATACATTGTGGCAATGGCACATGCACTCATAATAGCAAAAAGCTGTCATTTGGGTCCAATTTTGTAAAGTTCCAATTTAATCTGAACTTTACCATTCCTAATTACCCAATCAATAAGCACAAACACAATAATATCAAAGTAATAACCCTATATTTGTTTTTAAAATCATGGGATCCTGAATTCTTAAAATATATATTCAAATAAAAGGGCTAGCGAAAGCATAAACTCAATCATACGACTTAACAAAATACAACATTCTCTACCATAAAAAAGAGCCATGAGCTGTGACTTGTACCACATGCACCGTGGCATATGGTGAAGAGTAACATGCTCTATTTTTGTTTATGCCATGCGCCGTGGCAGGCACATTGTGACCTGCAGCGCATATGACAACAAAATATGCTGTCATATGACAGCTTAAAAGATGAAATTCCACCGCACTCCATTTCCACATCCAATGTCCAATTAGAGTTATTTAAGCGCTTACACAAAGCTTATGACATTTATTATCTAATGGAACAAGTTTGGATTCGATCTAACGGTTCGATCTAAAATTAGACACATGGGTGCAAAAAATCACTTTTCTTTTAAAAACTTTCACCTTAAGCACTCAATTCCCATTCCTTGTCCCATTAGACAACTTCAGGCCTTGAACCAAGTTTAAAAGAACCACATACACCTAATTGA